AGTGTAGTCGGTAGTACATTCTCCCGGACGCGATTTTTTTTCCCGTACGAAACATTTGCATGAAACTTCACTCGGGCCATCTCGGATTGACTCGAGTGAGTACGATACGAGGAACAAGAGCAGACACTTCGCAATGTCGTGACGCTCGAGTTTTACTATTATTGCTCTTTCTATGTTTACCTACGGTAGGCCTATGAAATTTCACGGACTTGTGTGATGTACGCCACTGTGTAACTAACTGTGACCTTCTTGGATGTTATTAAACAACAACAGCTAGCACCTCCTGTTAAACAGTGTAGATAGGTACAGTTATACCAAAGGCTAGAGAGAAAGAGGATAAATAGGCCTAACTACAGGTTGAGGTCTTACCTAGGCCCCTCCTTAAACTAGGCCTAGGGTCAGGCTGACACGTGTCACGCTTCACATACTGACATGGACTGAAATTTGGGGGGGGGGGATGGGACAAAATTGAAGCATGAAATGAAAAATAGAGCGCATAAGAGAAATATTATTAAATAAATAATATACGACCATTTCGGCGTTATTGAACTTGTCCAAACTATCATTGTAATTAATGCTAAATAATAATAATAATAATTTCAGCATTATGTTACCCTTGGCCTAAACCTTGTAATGAAGAACCTACAGATACTGTACTATTTACTAGGCCTATAAATAATAATCGCCCTGAGGGGATTATCTTTTGTGTTATTTCCCCTTAACGTCGTTTTTTTAATTGTTCTCTAATTCCTCCATTGTCTAAGTTCCCCCTAAAGTACAGGTAATAATAATAATTAATAATAATAATAATACTGTAATAATAATTATAATATTAATAATCATTTCAGCATATAATTACCTTGGCCTAAGGCTTGAAATGAAGAACCTACAGATACTATTTACTAGGCCTATAAATAATAACTAGCCCAAGGGGAATATTTTTTTGTGTTATTTCCCTTTGTCTAATATTTCCCCTTTGTCTAAGTTCCCCTTAACGTACAGGTAATAATAATAATAATAATAATAATAATAATAATAATAATAATAATAATAATAATAATTATTATTATTATTATTATTATTATTATTTCGGCATTACATGTAATTAACTTGGGTCTAGCCTTGTAATCAAGAACCTGCCGATTACATGCCTAATATTAATAACTAGCTCATTTTTACATTCATTAGATGTTTTGCCATTTCGGCAGGTCTTATGGCATCCAGTATTTTAGAGCTGCCTATTCTCAGCTCTTCTCTTAATTTGAAAATAACTGTCATTCTGTTTCATTTGATCAGATGAAGAAAAACGCGCTTTTCCTTACTCTTTGTGCTTTTCCCAGAAAGCGTTTTTAGTAGGCCTAGGAAATACGCCTTTTTCACGAATCGGTAGACATCTTGAAGTGATGACAAACATTGCGAATCAGCGGTGCGTAACCAACAGAAATAAGATAAGCTTTTGGGCTGATTTTCTGACATCATGTTATTTAAAAAATCATAACTCCATAACGGGGCGTCGTATCCAAAAGTGTTTCCAAGAAATTGTTCTTAAAAGACCAGTCTACACCACTATATGATTGAAAAAAAATTGAAAAATTTTTTTGACCTCTGAAATCAAGATTAAAAAAGAAAAGCCTATCTTAGTAGTGTATTAAAATAAGCCAATGCATTACAGTGCAGTAGCATAGGACTTTCGAGTTGTTACTGTTCCAAGTAGCGATATATACATATTTCTCTTATTACAAAGTACAAGTTATGTTTTATAAAGAGGTATAGTATAGTAAATCATGTTTTTAACACAGGAAACTCTCATATGGTAACTAAAACAAAGCTAGTTCAGAGTATTACTAGTACTACAGCACTGTAATGCATATACCTA